TATATGGTATTATCTCATAATTAATAAAGATAATATCATTAATTGGGATATTATCATAATAAAGGGATATTATCTTATTATTAATGAGATAATATCAATAATTTGGTTATTATCTTATCAAAGGGATAATATCTTAATTATCGGGTATTATCTTATAATTAAACGAGATAATTCAGATATTATCCGACTCGATCTCTACGAAACCCTAGCCCCGAGGCTCCTATAAATAGATGACTTCATTCATCATTCAAGGTACATCTAAACCTACATCTAAAACCCGAGAAAATACCCGAAGCTCTCTCTCCCTCTCCACTCTCCATTCTCCATATTTTCTCCACACGGCTCCGGCCACCACACACGGCTCCGGCCGCCCGGTTTACACCATACAAACTCCGTACCCTTTGCTTAGCTATTGTTTTCCTACAAACACTCGAACTAACTTAGGCATCGGAGGGCCTTTGGCCAACACCCCCCGGGTGTGGTCTATTTACTCCAATCTTTTTACAGGAATCGAGGAAGAGAGAGAAGGAAGATCGAAGGTTGAAGGATCTAGAAGCGAATATTCTCCCGCGAGATTATTTGCACAAACAAAGGTCTTCTCTTAATGTCCTATTCTATACGTCTAATTTGAACAGCCCAAGAAGGAGGAAAATAACACAAAACCGACTTACTTTGTGGTGCTAGACTAGTTGACAACAACCATCATTGATGTATACCACATAAATGAATTAATAATGTTGAAGCATAGAAGCAATAAATAATAAATAGGAAAATTAGGTATTAGACATAGATAACTTTACTTATTAGTATTTAAGACATTTGATATTTTGGTTTGGGTTTTAATACCTAGAAAAGAATTGTTATTTTGGATTATGCCAAAGAGGAAGACCAGATTTGTTGACCCACCTTACATTAGTCATTAAAAAGACAATTATACCCTTTTCATTTAAAAACATAACCCAAATCCGTTAGTTTCTCAGAAAACGGAAATTGCATTGCAGAAAACGGAAACTGCATTGCAGAAAATGGAATGTGCAATGCAAAAAACAGAAACATGAATAACCTATTTTACATTCTAGGTGGTTTTCAGTCTGATTCCCTCTCTCCCAACATGTTTTGAATAAAAAAAAACTATTGTTTTGTTTTGTTTAACTTTAGAGTTGAGCATTTTTGCCCAGGCTCAGCATTTCAGTTTCAGTTTCTGCATTGCAGTTTCTGTTTCTGCATCGCAGTTTCTGTTTCTGCATCGCAGTTTCCGTTTCTGCATCGCAATTTCCGTTTCTGCATCGCAATTTCTGTTTCTGCATTGCAGTTTCCGTTTCTGCATCTCAGTTTCCATTTTAGTACTTTCATCTCGGTTCCTCCATTTTGCTTCTATTAAATTAATTTTGTTTATATATATATAATTGATATCTACATTGTATTTTTGTTGCAGTTTTTGTGTAAATATGTGGTGAAATGATTTTTTTTTAATTTTTAAAACCGTTGATTGTTTATATAAATATTGTTTAATTGAATAAATATTACAAAATCAAGTTTGGTGTAGTGGTTTGTGAGTGAGCCCTCTTCCTTTGAGGGTCAAGGTTCGAGTCCTTTAATGACACAAAATCTTCTTTAAAGCTGTGTTAGTGTTAGTACAGCTGCATCTCTACTCTTTGTATAGCTATAAATACCTCCCATTGGAGATGAATCAAACATCAGAAATTTTCTGCATCTTATTTTCTACTGGTAGAAATGTTGAACATGTGGAAAAAGGACGCCGACGGTGCAGTAGTGCCAACAACGATGATTGTGATGGCGTTGATGCTCTGCTCATTTATATCACCACCCATGTTAATGGGTGTTTCTGTTTCGCAGAGAACAAGAATGATGGTGCCAGAAACCCAAGAGCAGCACAGACGGAATCTGCTTGCCAATGGGCTTGCAGTGACTCCTCCCATGGGGTAAGCTAAGCTAGCTCTCTCTCTGCTTCTCTCTCTGTTTTTAGTTGGTTTTAGCTAGCTGGTTCGGTTATCAAATATCAAGGATTCACTCATCTTTCTGCAAAATTAGTGATTCCTCTCTGTTTTGTTCCCTTTATGAATTGCAGTGGTGCTTTGTTTTACTCCTCCCAGCACTTTTACTCTAGTAATTCGAATGAGTGTCCTGAACTATGACAGGCATTCTAAGTTCTAAGTTCTAACTATGTATGTTACATTCGTTTCATATACATGTCTGTATACTAATCCCCTATTTGATTTTAATAATAAGGGAAAATCTCATCATTATTTACTACACAGTGATTCCTCTCGCATTTGAAGTTATGAAGTTGTGACCCTTCAAATGTCTAACGGCTGACTGCAACTTTCATTTTCCTTATATTTTCACTCCTTTTCAAATACTTGTGGGGATTAATCAGGTATTTTCTTTTTTATCATGTGGAATAGTTGGAATCACTTCAACTACAAAATTGATGAGAAAATCATCAAAGCAACCGGTAACTTTAACTTATACCTAATCTGTAACATGTTGTGTAAATTTCAGCTGCACCAAAATGGATTCAGCTGCATCCTCAACTTGTGATACTCGCAAGTGCACGAACCGTTGGTAGTTTAGCGTATGTAAGTGCGAGGTCGATTCCACAGGGATTGGTGATTGAATGATCCAATTCAGTTTTCCTACACAAAACAAAAACAAAAACAAAGAACATGAAAGAAGGAAGAAAATAAGAAAGTAACTCAAGCAAATAAGTTCCCAAGTTCAATTTAGATTAATGGATTGATTCTAGCTAAAGTATGATTAAGCCATGGTGTGTGGTCATAACCTTGTGTTCCTAATTCCCTAATTTGATCATTTGTTGTCTAACCTAAAATTAAGCATTAGGAACCCATTAAGCATAGAAGAACAATTTAAACAACCAAGCATGTATCTAATCCCTGTTGTCGAATGTCCATACATACTCTTCCTATTCATAGTTCAATTCGAATTAAAGAAAAGAATTTACATAATGAAAAGTAAAGTAGAACTTGGAAAGACTTAAAGAAAATTTCAGCACAAAAGATTTCATTACAACAATTGAAAACTAGAAAGAGAAACTAAGAGAATTTGAGGGAAAGAAGGGAAGTGTTTGAGAACTTTGAGGAGGGAGAAGAAAGTGTTTGGGAACTTTAGAGAATTTTGGAAGAACATGTGTTTGAGAGCTTTGAGAGGGAGAAGAAAGTATTGAGAACTTGGAGGATTTTGGAAGAACATGTGTTTGAGAGCTTTGAGAGGGAGAAGAAAGTATTGAGAACTTGGAGGATTTTGGAAGAACATGTGTTTGAGAGCTTTGAGAGGGAGAAGAAAGTATTGAGAACTTGGAGGATTTTGGAAGAACATGTGTTTGAGAGCTTTGAGAGGGAGAAGAAAGTATTGAGAACTTGGAGGATTTTGGAAGAACATGTGTTTGAGAGCTTTGAGAGGGAGAAGAAAGTATTGAGAACTTGGAGGATTTTGGAAGAACATGTGTTTGAGAGCTTTGAGAGGGAGAAGAAAGTATTGAGAACTTGGAGGATTTTGGAAGAACATGTGTTTGAGAGCTTTGAGAGGGAGAAGAAAGTATTGAGAACTTGGAGGATTTTGGAAGAACATGTGTTTGAGAGCTTTGAGAGGGAGAAGAAAGTATTGAGAACTTGGAGGATTTTGGAAGAACATGTGTTTGAGAGCTTTGAGAGGGAGAAGAAAGTATTGAGAACTTGGAGGATTTTGGAAGAACATGTGTTTGAGAGCTTTGAGAGGGAGAAGAAAGTATTGAGAACTTGGAGGATTTTGGAAGAACATGTGTTTGTAGCCAAAATGAGTTTGTCTTTAAGCTCTTCATCCATTCATCCAAATTAGGCCTTAACATGCTTGAATTGCATGAATTATATTCTCTTGCTCTTTTTGCCTACAAAACACACAAAGAGAGGCAAATAACATAGAAATCTAGGAAACTAAGCGAAAGAAGTAAGTAAATTTGGGCATGTATATGTATGAAATTATGAGCTTAACATAACCAAAGCTCATGCCTAATCCAAGCTTCATATACTAATTTATTAGGGTTTAATAATGCTTCTTGTTTCTCTGGTTTGACAGCTGATGCTCTGATTTCCACCGGTCTCTCTAAACTTGGATATACCTACATTAACATAGGTACATTGCTATTTTCTTTTTCTCTTCGTAATTTCCAATTTAGTCAGAAGATGATGACATACTTCATTTCTTGCTATCTATAGATGATTGCTGGGCCGAAATTGATCGTGATGACAAGGTTCTATTTTTAATCATAAACAATTCGGCTTTTAGAATGGTTAAAAAAGATATGGAGATTTACTAAGCATGAGATTTCAAATTCAGGGTAATCTAGCGCCCAAGAAATCAACCTTTCCATCAGGCATTAAATCTCTTGCGGATTATGTCCACAGTAAGGGTCTTAAGCTAGGAATCTACTCAGATGCAGGGTAACATGACTCTCATACACTCCAATACAGAAAATATATGCTGCATATTTGTTGTTGAATGTTGATATATACTCATATTTGTTACAACTAAACAAATAGTGCATGCAATTATACTTTGCAGGTACTTTACTTGCAGCAAAACAATGCCTGGTTCACTTGGCCATGAAGAACAAGATGCCAACACATTTGCTGCTTGGGTATGATATGTTGAAATGATTTTAATCAGAAGGAGTCATGACATCTGCAATGATGATATTTGGTCATAGGATCTTGAAATACTGCAACTTTTTTGCAGGGAATTGATTATTTGAAGTATGATAACTGTAACAATGATGGCTCAAAGCCAACTGTTAGGTAAAATAAAATATCTATGATGATAATGCAGTAACGCTACTCATGTTTGTTCTTCCTGCCTGCACTTAAGTTTCCCTGTATTAGGTATACCTTAGATAAAGATTTCTATATCTTCTTGTAGATATCCTGTAATGACCCGAGCTCTGATGAAAGCAGGCCGTCCCATATTCTTTTCTCTTTGTGAATGGTAATGATCTTGTTTGTTAAAACTAAAAAATCATGTAATTGTTTTCTTTTTTGTTAGTAATCCCTAATTGTTCTTGTTTTTTAGGGGAGAAATGCACCCTGCTCTATGGGGTGCTAAAGTAGGAAATAGTTGGAGAACTACTGATGACATTTCTGATACATGGGAAAGGTAGAAAAGTGTGCTACCAATGAACTCTCAAATTGGTCTTCTATATGGGTCGCACATAATACTTTTCTTGCATTTCCCTTGGCAGTATGGTCTCTAGAGCAGACATGAACGAAGTTTATGCTGAATATGCCAGACCTGGTGGTTGGAATGGTTAGTATTCTAATGCAACTATGCTTTACCTATACTGTCATTTAGGCACATTGCTGATGTTTCAGTAAGAGATTCATCTGCTGAATTTCAACAGATCCCGACATGCTTGAAGTGGGGAACGGAGGAATGACAAAAGATGAATATGTAGTCCATTTTAGCATATGGGCCATTTCTAAGGTACCATAAACATTTTCTCTTCTTTTATATGATATGTGCAGTTTAAGGTCATTGGTTTGGTAACGCATAAGCCATGCTGCAGGCTCCCCTTCTTCTTGGTTGTGATGTGAGAAATATCACAAAAGAGACAATGGAGATCGTTGCAAATAAAGAAGTTATCTCTGTAAACCAAGGTAACTAACTACAACCTTTAGATAGACACTTGTTTTCCTTCCTGGTGACTGAACGAGTTTGCATTAATAGAACCCAGAATTGTAACTGTGTTGATTAACTGTAACAGATCCACTTGGTGTGCAAGCCAAAAAGGTCAGAATGGAAGGAGATCTTGAGGTAAAATTGAAAATGCCAGCAATCTCTTCTGATATATGTAGGCTGCTGTTCTGCTTCCGTAAGAATTCTGTCACTGTCTGTGAGATTGATCGACTCTCAATTTTATGTACTTTGAACAGTTTTGGGCCGGTCCGCTCTCAGGCTACAGAGTAGCTTTACTCCTTGTCAACCGAGGTGCTTTGCGAAATTCCATTACAGCTCACTGGGATGATGTTGGAATCCCCACAAACAGTGTTGTTGAAGCCAGAGACCTTTGGAAGGTATAACCTATAATTATCTGGTCTAACATCAGGCCTTAATTAGCATTCTTTCTCAGTTCTTCCTACTCCGTTGCAGCCGTATTGTATTGTGAGATATTTACTGATATGTCTCTGTCATGCAGCACAAGACATTGAAGGCACGATTTGTTGGAAACTTGACAGCCACCGTGGGCTCTCATGCATGCAAAATGTATGTTTTGAAGCCAGTCTCGTAACCATGAGTTTAGTTGGATTGGAATGTTGATGTTGCTGTTGATCTCCCGACCGCCCAACTATATATCTAATGTCACGCTCATGGTTTACTATCCACGAATTCCTATTTGGCATTTTACCAAAACTTTGTTTCCAATTAATAAAAGAATCTGGAGGAAGCAAAGGTCCTCTTCTCCACTGGTTTATGTGTATCTTCCCATTTTCTGGTGGATGGACGTAAGGAATGAGTAACTCTTATGCAATGTGATATTTTTCTATTTTGAGTCTATGACCTACCTCCATGCGCTTAACCTTAACATGACTTAAAGTAGTACTGTAAATTGATGCGTTGAGCTATGAACAATTGAGAAACTATGCTTCGATTTCTACGACTCCCAGACTTTTCAAGATAGATCAAACCAACTCTTCACTTTTCAGGTATGAAGGGGGATTTGAACTTTTAGACTTCTTCCCACATTGAGGAAGGGGATGAAGGGAAAACTTGAAATGGAACTCTCCCCAAAGCTATATCCTTCACAAAACATCCATAAGGAGTGAAATGTGAAAGTTATGTTGATTATCATAAACAAGTTGATGAACAAATAAAATATTGTGGGAAATATTAAAACATGTAAAATATTGTTGAGTTTAATCGAGAATTTGAAATAGAGGCAACATGTGTGATATCTAAACATTGCCCTTTACCCTCAAACACCTTATTCATGGATGTACTCAGACGGAGTTTTTGAGCATTTAATAATCTTTTGTATGGTTTAGATATGTCTAAATGCAAGTAAATACATTGGTTTGACCCGAGTCCTAACCGAACCAACAACAAAAGTTTTGAGTTGAGCCCTAAGATCGCAAGTTGGATTAGAAAATCCGATTCCGACCGATTTCGTTTCAAAAATTTCCGATTTTGGCAAGTCCAAATCAATTTCGACATCCTAAAGTTATGAAATTCGAAAATTCTGATAAAAATTGAATTGAAATTAGAATGTATCTAGGTATTCCGAAAAATTCCGAATTCTGAAATATATTGGGGTTTCAAGCTTAGACTACACACAATTCCTAATTTCATGTTGAACTAAATATAATTTGATGAACAAATAGACCTAGACAAGTTATTTCATAAAGGATAACAACATATAATATTTTTACAAGCTTAGCTTACTGTATGAGTTTTTAATTTTGAGTCGATTTTAATCATTCAAATGGTTGGGCATTTTTAGAATTTTGAAATAACTTTTGAAAATTATCAAAAAAATTCGGAAATATATAAGTTTCAAAATATTCCAAAAATTCTGAATTTTCCGAATTGGAATGGATATTATTCCAAAAAAAAATTAGAATTAATTTGGAATAGAATCTTCATTCCGAATATTTTTGGATTGAAATTGGAATCTCCTAATTCCAACTGCAAGTAAATACATTGGTTTGACCCGAGTCCTAACCGAACCAACAACAAAAGTTTTGAGTTGAGCCCTAAGATCGCAAGTTGGATTAGAAAATCCGATTCCGACCGATTTCGTTTCAAAAATTTCCGATTTTGGCAAGTCCAAATCAATTTCGACATCCTAAAGTTATGAAATTCGAAAATTCTGATAAAAATTGAATTGAAATTAGAATGTATCTAGGTATTCCGAAAAATTCCGAATTCTGAAATATATTGGGGTTTCAAGCTTAGACTACACACAATTCCTAATTTCATGTTGAACTAAATATAATTTGATGAACAAATAGACCTAGACAAGTTATTTCATAAAGGATAACAACATATAATATTTTTACAAGCTTAGCTTACTGTATGAGTTTTTAATTTTGAGTCGATTTTAATCATTCAAATGGTTGGGCATTTTTAGAATTTTGAAATAACTTTTGAAAATTATCAAAAAAATTCGGAAATATATAAGTTTCAAAATATTCCAAAAATTCTGAATTTTCCGAATTGGAATGGATATTATTCCAAAAAAAATTAGAATTAATTTGGAATAGAATCTTCATTCCGAATATTTTTGGATTGAAATTGGAATCTCCTAATTCCAATCGGATCTGTCTGAAAATCACCCCTATTCCCGTATTCATAGCACGTGTGAGCTCCACATATATACCACGTCATCAATTTAACATAAATTTTGACGGAGAGACTAATTTGATGTAAGTGTGGTAACGTTAATGATCAATCATGTCAAAAAAAAAACGTAAAGGGGTAAAAGTGATAATTTGGTGCCAACTTGATGCACTCACTTAATATCAACAATCAAAAATTAGTTTGCACTTTGAATCGTCCGTCATTAAAGTTATAAAAAAAAATCAAAAATTTAATTTAGAAGTTAAAATAAAATAAAAATATAAGAAGGCTTGATAAAAAGGAATTAGAACAACAAATACGCCCCGCTTTCCTAGTTCCTACCTCTTCCCCACTCCATCTCTTCTCTGTACCACCACTAACCAACATCAATGCCCCCTCCATTACAATTGTTGCCACAATCACTGCCTAGAGATTATAAAATACTATGGTAATATAGTCACGTGGTAGATCATGTATACAGTATATGTGTTATAATATAAGTGGATATTTATAGATACTATTTCCCAAAATGGGGAAAATAAACCATATCGTCCACCCAAATTATAATATGTGTACAAGATGCACCACATGGCCCTACTACACATCGCCATATCACCATTCAACCACCCTTAATGCACCCCAAATTCCAGTATCACATATGAATGCCATGACCACACATTTATAAATTGATACTTGTAAAAATATATACATTATTGTTTATACCATATCTGACCAAGCAACTAGGCAAATCTAAGCAAGGCAAAGAGTCCCACATTGGAATATTACAAGATGTATAGACTCTCCCTCACCTATAAGAGGAGACCACTCTCCATTCATTGAGGGTTTCGCTTGCCCAAATCCTCACACACTGGGTGATGGTCCTCACCTTCACCCATCAAACCTCATTACTAAGTTGAGCTCAAAAGTGCTGAACCATTTTTTAGCGTCAACAATTATATTATGAGGTTAGCCAAACAAATACATTATATTAAGATTTCTTAATTATTTTATTAAATTTTGTTGTCTAAAGATATGGTTAAGGGCTTGTTTGAGAGCATATAGGCGAGAATCACTTACGGAGAGAAGCACCTCCCACGTGCTTCTCCATATAATCACTTTTAATAATTTTAAGTGATTATGGGGAGAAGCAATTCTCATGTACTTCTCTATAAAATCACTTAAAGTTATTATTTTGAGAAGTGATTTTCTATAAAAGTGATTATTAGCATATCTAGAATCACTCCTAAACAAGGACAGATCCATGCTTGGGCTAGAGTGGGCTCTAGCCTAGTATTGACTCTGGAGAGAGACAAATCAGGCTTAGTAAAAAAAAAAAAAAAATTAGCCCACCACTTTTTCTAGAAAGCAGCCCGACATCTACAACCAAATACTTTACTACTTCAATTACTAAAGTTTTTTTTTCTTTTTCTCTCTTCTTCGGTTTTTTCAGCTTTTGATTTGGCTCAAATAATATTTATATGTCTCTCTGATTTTGTTTTTTCAAATTTATTGATGTTGTTTCTTTTGGAAATTTTGAAATATGGACCCTCCATAACTAAACCACTCTGCTGAGCCAAAGTCCTCGAGCTTCAAATTGTTCTTCGTTTGAGCCTATGAATTTTAGTTTTTTTAAGTTTTCTTTGGTTACATATCTCTCAAATTACTTGAGGAAGAAAAGAAAAGAAACGAAACGGGGTGGTAAATATTCTCTTGGTGAGGCGGCTGGGCCGTGTGCCATGGGTTGTATTTTTTTACCTTTAAGTTGTTGTCTTTTGGGAGTATGAGTGAGAGTGAGGTTACAAACTTACAGCGGGTAAACGCCTTTTCGTTCCTACCTACGATTACGATCCTGTATCACACCGTCCATTGGTTTCCTGTGTCCTCATCTCATGCATGCCTGTGCTCTTCTCAATCTCAGCAGCTGCCTGCTAGCACGAGGGGTTTGCTAGCTTAGCTTCATAGCAGATAGCTAGACTGAGTTTCTCTCTCATTTTAATTTGAAGGTGTAGGTGAAGGTGAAGAAGATAGAGTGCTGAAAGAAAGATTTTCAAATCCAATCCAATCCAATTTGAACAAATGGCGAACATAGACATCGAAGGAATAATGAAGGAGCTTCCCAACGATGGGCGTATCCCCAAGACGAAGATCGTTTGCACGTTGGGCCCATCCTCCCGGTCGGTGGCGATGGCGTAGAAGCTGCTGAGGGCAGGCATGAACGTCGCCCGCTTTAACTTCTCCCATGGGATGGGACCCACGACTACCATCAGGAGACCCTCAACAATCTCCGCACTGCCATGCACAACACCCAGATCCTCTGCGCCGTCATGCTCGACACCAAGGTCTACTCTCCTCTATTTATTTATGGGTTAAGTGAGTAGGGTAGCGGAAAGGGAATGGAAATTTAAAATGAAGAAAAGGGGAAATGAAACATGTCATACTTTCTTATATGCTTGAAGTAGCATTGCCATGAAATTGCCATTTCTCTTTTGTAGGGGCCTGAGATTCGTACTGGATTCCTCAAGGGTGGCAAACCTATTCAACTTAAGGAAGGGCGGGAAATCACCATTACTACTGATTACAGCATCAAGGGGGACCAAGAGATGATTTCCATGAGCTACAACAAGTTGGCCGGGGACTTGAAGCCTAGAAATACCATTTTATGTGCAGATGGTACCATTACCCTCACTGTGTTGTCTTGTGATCCAGCAGCTGGTACAGTTAGGTGCCGCTGTGAGAACACTGCAATGCTGGGTGAGAGAAAAAATGTCAGTCTTCCTGGTGTTGTGGTGGATCTTCCTAAGCTGACGGAGAAGGATAAGGAAGATATTCTGGAATGGGCTGTGCCCAACAAGATTGATATGATTGCTCTTTCATTTGTACGCAACGCAAGGGATCAGATCTTGTTAATGTCCGTAAAGTTCTTGGACCCCATGCCAAGCACATACAATTGAT